TCGCTCCTGTGGGTGAGCGCCTCCTGGCTCCCAGTCCCGGGCCCTCGGACCGGGCCTGAGTCACCCGGACCTGGGCCCTGACTCAGGGCCCGAGGCTCTGTACCCGGGCTCGGGCTTGAGATGGGTCCCAGCTCCAGAGAGGCAGAGAGCGGCCAGAACTGCAGCTGAGCCAGAGTCCTGCTTAGGGACTAAATTCCAGCGCGACAGGGAGAGACAGCAGTTGGGAGAAAGCCAGGGACCAGACAGAAAGCCAGGGTCAGAGGTGGCCAGAGACACAGACACAACCGAAGACCTAGTTGGAGCTGGAGGCTGAAGCAAGGGCAGGTTTAATGACAGAGCAGACCAGGGTGGGAGGAAAAGGACAGAGATGGATTTATAGTTGAGGTTGAGATCCAGAAGGACCAGGGTTAGGGACCTGGCCAACGCAGAGATAACACCCAGGACAGACAGCATCAGAGATGAGCCCAGGTAGAAAGGGTCAGGGGCAGGGGTAGGCTGGCCTGGAAGCCCAAGCCCAGGGGCACAGCAGGGAGAAGGCAGGCTGAGAGGAGGAAGGCTTACAGAAGGCAGAGGTGATGGCGGGTATGTCCTTGAGCATGGCGGAGTCCCTGCAGGGTGTGTGCTCACACACGTGTAAACATGCTGGTGCAGGGAGGGTGGGGAAGAGCCTCGAGGACCCTGGCCACTGGGCCCCTTATCTCTCTGGCCATTTCCCACCCAGTCCCGATTTCCCAAGTGACCTCGACCCTGGGCCAAGATTCCACATATTCTGACTGGGCAGGGCCTTGGGCAGCCTGTCCATCACAGGCAGGATGTGGGGGCGGCTAGGCTGGAGGGACAGGAAGGAAGTCTGAGGAGAGACAATAGGTGGAAGGGGAGGGGGAACTGGGAACAGCCAGGATTCAGATGGCAAGCCTGCACCTCAGCTCTGGAAACCAGTGGGAGTGGGGTCAGTACCTCCCGCCTCCCACCTAGCCTGCCCTTTCCCCACCTGTGCCACAGCTGGGCCTGGCCCAATTATCAGCCCTCTCCTGCCCACCTTGCCATCCACCCTGCCCCCACAGGGTTCTAGTATCTTCTCCCATGCTTACTCAGTTGAGTGTTCAGTAAGGCAGGGCTAGAGCTTTGACTCAGACCCAGGTGGGCCAAGACTACTCCAGTCTGCTGTGAGTCTGGAGCAAACCCTTCCCCTCCGTGGGCCTCAGTTTCCTGTATTATAATGAACCAAGCCCTCTAATGAGAGAGCCCTTTCTGATGTTCTGGGATGGGCTCTGTCTTCTGACTGCGGGCCTGTGGGCATCTTTCTTTGGAGGAAGACTAGAGGCTGATACTCTCTGTCCAGGCCTCAGACTTTGGGCAGGGAGGGGGATTCTCGGCCTGAGCCCTCCCTTCACCCTGCCCCTCCCCCCAGCAATGGCCTGAGTCCCCATGGCCGCCCCTCAGGACCTGGACATCGCTGTGTGGCTGGCCACGGTGCACCTGGAGCAGTATGCAGACACGTTCCGGCAGCATGGCCTGGCTACGGCGCGTGCGGCCCAGGGCTTGGGCCATGAGGAACTGAGACAGTTGGGCATCAGCGCTACAGGACACCGGAAACGCATTCTGCGCTTGCTACAGGCGGGCGCTACCCAGGGGTCCCTGGATCCCAAATCGGATAGTACCATGGAACCGACCCCTAGCCCAGCCCCCCAAGCCCAACCCCCCAAACCTGTGCCCAAGCCCAGGACAGTGTTCAGTGGGCTCAGTAACCCTGCCACTACCCAGAGGCCTAGGTTGAGTCCAACCCTCTGGGGATCAGAAATGTCCAGGGGCCCAGAGTGCAGCCCGAAGTCCCCTTCTATCCCCACCTCCTCCCCTGAGCAGACGTCAGCTCCGAACCCCGTGGAGATGCTGCCCAATGCCATCTACTTCGGCCTGGACTTTCAAGGTGGAACACAAGCAGCTCAGAACATGTGAGAGGGGTGGCCCCCCCAGGAGTATGATGTTCAGTGGAGGGGCGGGTGGGGGAACAGGGCATGAAGGCCTGTCCTTTCTCCTCTCTTCCTTAGTAACCGATAGACCTTTCCCCTCAGGGCTCCAGACAGCTCCCAGACAATTGCCCCCACCCCAGCCCACAGGCCCACAACAGGCACAGGTAAGGGGGCTATCGTGTCATGGAGAGGGACAGTGTCTTCAGGACCTCAGATACTCTCACCTGACCTCTTCCCTCTGTCTCCATCTCTTCTTCCCCTGCCAGTGCACATCATGGATCCCGGTTGCCTATACTATGGGGTCCAGCCTACGGGGGTTCCGGGAACCCCTGACAGGAGAGAGGGCAGAGGTATCTGTCAGGACAGGGCTGAACACAGGTGAGTACGCAGTAGGGTAGTGACGGGAGAAAGCTCAAGGAACAGTTTAGCTGGTGGTGGCCATGTGTCTAGTTACCCGTCAAATGTGGATGGAGTGTCCGCTGCACCAGCCAGGCACTCAAGATTTGGGGTGAATATCTGGGGTCCAGTACTGCCCTCAGGCACTTGTGGCTCAGTGGAACAGACAGGGCAAGTAGACAAATAAGTGGATGCACCATTAAAAATTGGGAGACGTGCTTTTCGTGACTTCATTCAACAAATATTTATTGAGCAACTATCATATTCCAGATGTATAGTTTAGTGGGTAGATCAGTGTACACAGAAGTCCCTGCGCTTGTGAGGAGGTAGCCAACAATGAACCTAACGGCTTGTATAGCATGATAAAACGTGTGAAGTGCCATGGGAAAAACGGAGCATGATAAGAGGGCGCCGGGGACCATGTGAAGGAACTGCAGGGTTTCATTCAGAGTTAGTGGAGCATTAAGCAAAAACTTGACTTTGACATCTGAACAAAAACTTGAAGGAGGTGAGGGAGTTACCGTGAAGGTAGCTGGGGAAGA